AAATAATGAAGAAAATGTAAAAAAAAAATGATACAACATTAAGCATAATTAAAAACCTAAGGGAAAAGATAGGCAAAGAACAAAAAGGAATAAGGAAAACAATTCAAGAACAAAATGAGGATCTATCAAATATATTCAGTTAAAAGGAACAATAATTGAGATGAGAAATACAGTAGGATTTACTTATAGATTTAATCATACAGAAGAATGAATCAGCAGATTAGAAGATAGATAGTTAAAATTACAGATGCTGAAAAACAACAAGAATAGAGGCTCAAGAAAGCTGAGCACAGGTTAATGAGGTTATGTGACATGAACAAGATATCTAATATATGCACTATGGGAATTCCAGAAGGTGATGAAAGAGAGAAGGGTTAGAAAGAACGTTTGAAGAAATAATTACAGAAAATTTCCACAATCTCTTAAAAGAAATGAATCTACAAAGATAGCAAGGTCAAAGAACTCCGAAGAGAATAAACTCAAAGATATCTACACAAAGACACATTAAAGTTAGATTCTCAAAAATTAAAGATGAAGAGAGAATCCTGAAAGCTGTGAGAAAGAAGCAGTCACATACTAAGGATTCCCAATAAGAATAATTGCCGATTATTCCTCAGAAACATTGGAGGCCAGAAGGTAATGGAATGATATATTTAAAGTTCTAAAAGGAAAACAAACAAACAGACTGTGAACCAAGAATACTATATCCTTTGAGAAAGAGGGTAAAATTAAAACATTCCCAGGCAAACAGAATCCACCAGGCTGGTCCTATAAAAAAGAGTAATAGTAGTTCTATAGACAGAAGGGAAAAGACACTGAAAAGTAATTCAAAGCTACACATAAAAAGAACTTTCCTTAATAAAGGGAAATACATGGACAAGCATAAGACCTAGTAATAAGGTAATCATACTGGCTAATTATAAATGTTTTATCTTTCATATTTTTAAATAACTAAAAATATAAAAAGGAAAGATAAAATTATGTCACAGGACAAATGAAATACAAAGACTTAATTAGTGATAACAGTAAAGAGGGGAAAGGAATGGAATAAATACAGAATTTCTTGTATGTTACTGAAGTAACTTGGAATGTTGTAAATACAATGTCTTAAGTTTAATATTCATGGTAACCCATAATAAAATATATAAAAACAAAGGTCAAAGGCTTTGCACACCTAAAAGTTTATTGAAGAAGGTGTTGTGTTGTTGTTATATGCCATCAGGTCAGACCTGACTCATTTAGACCCCTCCTTGTGTTTCTGAGGCGGTATCACTACAGAAGTAGATTGACAGCCTTCCTTCTGAGGAGTGACTGGTGGCTTTAGTGTGGGTCAGATTTTACACACACATACACACACACACACACACCTGTATATATATAACCAAAAACAAACTCACTGCCAGTGAGTTGATTCCAACTCATAGTAACCCCCTGTGGGTATCCAAGGCAGTAACTCTTTATGGAAGAAGATTGCCCAGTGTTCCTTCTGTGGAGCACCTGGAGAGTTTGAACTGCTAACCTGATTAGCAGTCAAGTGCCTCTGGCACTATTCCAAAGAGTCCACAAGAAGATGTCTAGAGCTAATAGAGGAATTTAGCAAAATAGCAGGATGCAAGGTCAAAAAACAAAAATCATTGTATTTCTATACATTCTATGAAGGAAGCAATTTCATTTACAATCATATCTAAGAGAATAAAATACTTTGAAATAAATCTAACCAGGGATATGAAGGACTTATACAATGAAAACTATAAAACACTTCTCAAAGAGATTATAAAGACTTAAATAGAAAGATTTTTCTGTGCTCAGGGACTGGAAGACTTAACATTTTTAATATGTTAATAGTACTCCCAAGCAATCCATATATTCAATATAATCCTAATAAATTCCAATCATCTTCTTTACAGAAATAGAAAAAAAAAAATCTTTAATGTTATATGGAAAGCCAAGAGATCCCAAATAACTAAAATAATGCTGAAAGAGAACAAAATAGGAGGATTCACTTTCTGATTTTGGAACATACTATACGACCACTGTAATCAAGCTGTCTGGTATTGTTATAAAAAGAGACTCTTAAACCAATGAAATAGAATTGAGATTCCAGAAATAAATGTACACATTACTAGTGGAATGATTTTTGATGAGGGTTCTAAGTCCATTTGATAGGGAAAGAGAGTTCCCTAATAAATGGTGCTGAAAAAATTGCATTTCCAAATAGAGAAATGAAACAGGATCTTTGCCTCACATTATACATTAGGAGAAATTCAAAATGGATTAAGGACCTTAATGTGCAAACTAAAACCTTAAAAAGTTTAGAAGAACAAGCAAGCATGATTCTATCAGTCTTAGCTTTCAAAAATAGATTATTTAATGCAATAACAAAAGCACCCAAAAGACTTGAAGGCAGAAATTCAAAAAGAGACTTGTACAGCGATGTTCAGTCCAACACTATTCACAACAGTCAAAGGCAGAAACGACCTAAATGCTCAGTAACAGATGAATGGACAAACAAAATGTAGCCCATACATCCAATGAAATACTACTCAGCCAGCAAGACAAAGGAAGTCTCAATACATACTACAATATGAATGGGGTTTGATGATACTGTACTGAGTGAAATAAGTCAATCATAAAAGGACAAATACTCTAAGAATTCACTTATATAAAAAGGAAAGGAAAGGCAAATATATGAAGATCAAAGCTACTAAGGGCTAAAGGGAAGGAAAAAGGAAGTTAATGGTGATGGAAAAATCATAAGGATAAGGTTTCACACCTGATTATAGTAATTACTGTCCATAAGTTGTACACCTATACTAAACTGAATTGGCAAAAGCTGTGTGAGTGGTATTCATACAATAATGACAGAATAATAATAATAATAATAAAGAGTAGCTTCTGAGGCTGGTTATTTATAACCAAACACCTCATGAGATTTGTTTCCTTGGTTTGGAGGTTTAGGGTCATAGTTTCATGGAACGTGCCAATTAATTGGCTTAATAACATGTTTAATGCTTCTATTCTATCTCCTCGTTCATTGTGTAATGCTTGCCTGGGGTTTTAACAACTGGCAAATGGCCATCTAAGATAAAACAATTAGTTTCTATTCACCTGGAATGACAGAGGAAGAAGGAGAATCAGGAATGCGATAATATGGAATATGTGCCTAATTGTCTCCATGACCAACTGCCTCCTTTGTCATGAGACCAAAAGAACTGCATGGTGCCTGGCTAACATTACTGAACGTTTTGACCAAAGATTCCATAGAAGGATACTGATCAAAAGGGAGAAAATATAGAACAGAATTTCAGATTCTAATGAACTGTAGACTTTCTAGAGCTATGTCAGGTGGATGAACCCCTGAAACTTTTGCCCTAAGATTATCTTTAAAACTTAAGCCTAAAATATACCCTGAAGTCCTCTTAGCCTAACTAGCAAAAAACCTCCATCTTGAGCATTATCCTCTTTTAAGAACTATCTCTATGAGATCAAATTGAAAACAGCAACTCAAAAGATTAGACAGGAAACTTAGAGGACAGTGATTGTATTTTAATGGTGGAGAAACAGCTCAGAAATGGAGGGTGAGAATGGTTACCCAGCTTGAAGAATGTAATCAATGACACTAAATTTTGCATGTATGAACTGTTGAATCGATGCATGTCTTGCTGTGTATATTCTCAACAAGAACAAAATAAATAAAATTTAAAGGAAAAAAAAAGTACAATCAGAAAGTTGATATAAATATTTTATTTTTTCCAATGTTTCTTTCATTGTATAATGATATTCAGCACATTATTAATGTGCTGCATTAATTGTTTAAGATTTTCTCACCTATCATATTACAACTTTTATTAATTACATTTAAATAGAGCCATCAGAAAAGTAATCTTATTTTTAGAGTTTTATTTTTTTGGTTAACTCTTGAGTTTTCAGAGAAAATCTTCATTTTGAGGAGGGAGATATTCATAAAGAGATAGTCAGGAAAATCATACATTCACAGCAATGACTGATATAAAAATAATTTATGCTAGTTACGTTAACAATGTTAAATGTATCAAAATGGGACGGTAATGCTTCACATAAAATTCAAAATTGTAAATAAAGTCCTTTATAACAATGAATGATGAACACATATGCTCTTAAAAAGTTGGAAGAATGAGGGCGGCAGAAGAAAAGGTTTGGCAGTTGAGTAGAATGTGTTGGAACTGAGAGTTAAAACTTGATCTGCCTAAACTCAAGGCCAAAGGATCATGTTACACAGTGTTTAGGGGGTATGATCTGGGATCAGACAATCTATGGCCTAAATCATGAATTTATGCAAAAGTCATGTAATTTTTTCAAGCTTTTTAACATTTTCAGAACCTAAAGTTTCTTATCTGTAGAAAAGTTTGATTATGTCAATATCATGTATCTCGTATTAAGAGAATTAATTCAGTTAATTAATATACAGCAATTAGTAGATTTTACAATATGTGTAAGTATCCTATGGAGTGCTAAGGTTGTTGTCATCATGCTCCCTAGTTTTCTTCCTAATATTTCCATATTTTCTATGTATTTCCAGCCTAGAGACAGAGCGTCATTATTTAAGTTTACTGAGCTTATTATCTCCCCATCTGTCTCTAGGTCCTAGCCTATATAAATATTTGAGAATATGCTTTCAGTGAGCAAGAGTGTAGTCATAATGCATACTTGAACTAACTTCCATGTGCATAATTTATGAAAAAGGATTTATACTTTAGTTATTACAGTTTCGCATTGGAATTACCTAGTTAGAGTCATAAAATTTGTATAGTTCTTGACATTGAGAATTCAATGACTCCTTCCTCTACCTGGAGATATATTTTAATCTTAAAATAAATATTTTACCTTATTTAAAACAATATGGAAATTATACAGCATAATCAACTTGGAGAATAATTAACAGCCCTAAGATAAAATCGTTCACATTGATTTGTTCACCTCAGCATTCCTGAAAACTAAATTGAGCCTCTTTGTATTTGCAGCTAAGATCTGATTTAGACAATGGAAACAACTCTTTTCAGTACAAGCTCTTGGGAGATGGAGCTGGGATTATTTTTGACATTGACAACAAAACAGGTGACATATATGCTGAAAAGAAGCTTGATCGAGAAGAACAGTCGCTCTACATTCTGAGGGCACAGGTGATAGACCCCACGACCGGAAGGGCTGTGGAGCCTGAGTCTGAATTTGTCATCAGAGTTTCGGATATCAATGACAATGAACCCAAATTCCTAGATGAACCTTATGAGGCCATCGTTCCAGAGATGTCTCCAGAAGGTATTGCATATTCCTTTACATCAAACCTATATTAACAATGAAAATAGATTTAAAACTTCCAGGATTGTATATTATTATTTAAAGCTGTACACCAATTCTTCCTTCTACAAGCATGTTTGAGAAAAATATCTGAAAAACCATATTATTTGTTAAACATTTTGTGAAAATGGTATTGTAAATTATTTTTCCCATTGAAAGACCACCTAATCTCTAGCAACAGGAAAAATAAAAAAAGAAGACAGAGTAAACATGCTTATTAGAGCAATTTGCAAAGTTGTTTAGCTTGTTGATTTACAAATATATTAAACTTAAGAATCCATTTTCCAAAATGAAAAATAATTTTCTATCTCATGAAGACAAAGAAGATAATGGTATAAGATGTGTACATAAAAGTAGGAAAAGTCACTTGATAAAACAAACACCACAGTATGCATCAAAAAACAAGTGGCGTGAAGACTCAAAAACAAAACAAAGGTGGTAGACACCTCCGCACGTATGTATTCATTTTCTAAGTCCTTTTCAAAATCCAATGGTATTTATTAATACTTTAAATACAATACCTGTATATCAATGTTCTCCAGAATATATAACAGTCGACTGTCTTTGAAACAACAAATGTCTTTCCAGTAAGGAGAATGAGAACTACAACTAAACCAAATGTTTCCTCTCCTTGCTTGAGTGTTGATTTGGCTTTGAACTCTTTTACGTACCCATGTCATCCCTTACAAAGTCATGAGTGTAAACATTTTATTGTCTATTGTTCTTAAGTATATTTTTGTGTTGGAGCCAGCATCAATGATTATACTTTGAACTTAGATTTTTTTTTTTTTTTTACTTCAGAGAATCACATTTAAGGATGTCAATCAGCAAAAAAAAATCTACAAAATACTTATTGCTTATAAAACATTACTTCCATATGGTGATGAGTTTCTCTGACTGCACTTATATTTGAGAGATGGATACATTCCACTTAAAACTTTTCAAGTGAAATTGAGAAAAGCATTATGGTGTCCCGTCTGTCGCTCTTGAAAGCATTTCTGGAAACTAAATTGTCATCAGAGTTTTGAATATCAATGACAATGAACCAAAATTCCTAGATAAATCTTATGAGGCCATAAGTTATTATCTCTGTGTCATGAAAAATATAAGTTCTGTTAGGCCAGGTGACATAGAGCCTAAGGCCTTTGAGTACTAACCAGAAGGTTGGCAGGTCAAACCCACCAGCCACTCCACAAAAGGAAGATGGGACAATCTACTTCCATAAAGCTTTACCACCTCAGAAACCCAATAGGAGGTGCTATGCACTTGGAATCAACTTGAGGGCAGTGAGTTTGGTTTTAGTCATGAGGCCAGGAGGAGTTCTGATGACACAGTGGTGAAAGAACCTTGCTGTAAAATGAAAAGTTTTCCATTGGAACTCACCAGCCTCTCCTCAGGACAAAGATGTGACAGTCTGCTTCTATAAAGATTTATAGCATTGGAAACCCTATGAGGCAGTTCTACTATGTCATGTGGTCATATGATCACTATGAGTCAGAGTCAACTCCACAACAATGGGTCTTTTTTCTTTTTTGGCTTACTAGGTCAGGGGTCATAGAATGCCTGGATTTGATGTGATTGAATGAATGGAAAGTGTATGAAAATATTACATAAGTGGTAGCCTGTTTGGGGAGATGAATAGAGGATGTTAATGGATGTAGAATCCAGAGAGAGTCTATGGGTATGGGTTGAGGTGCAAAGTAATCAAGGTATTCCACATATTTTCTAAATAGATTAATCATTCTAAAATTTTCTAGTGCAGAGTCTTCAAATGTATTGTTATGACATTATTTTGTTGTTAGTAGACATCAAGTTGGTTTCAACTCATACTTAGCCCATACACAACAGAGCAAAAAAATGCCTGGTCCTGAGCCATCCTCACAATCATTGCCATGCTTGAGCCCACTGTCACAGTCATTGTGTCAATCCATCTTGTTGAGGGTCTGTCCCTTTTTTATTGACCCTCTATTTTTATCTACTATAATATCCTTTTAAGAATATATGAATAACAATTTATAAAAGGTGTTATCTTTCTAATGGTTTCTAGTTATTCCTAAAGTATGTTTTGCTGTTGTTAGGTGCCACTGAGTCCGTTCTATCGCATAGGGACCCATGTACAACAGAAGGACACACTACGCACCTACAGCATCCTCATGGCCCTTGCTCTGCTTCAGCCCATTGTTGCCACCACTGTGTCAATCCATCCTGTCGATGTCCTTCCCATTTCACCAAGCTTCTACTTTACCAAGCATGAGATTGTTCCCCAGGGACTAGCCATTCTTCCTTCTAAGGAGCATCTGGCTATACCTTTTCAAAGACAGATTTGTCCATACTTCTTTCAGTCTTTAAAGCAGAAAACCAAACTCACTGCTGTTGAGTCAGATCTGACTCTTGCAGTCTATGGTATATTTAAAATTCTTTGCCAACACCATACTTCAAATGCATAGATTTGCCTTTGTTCTTCCTTCTTCATAAAATATTAGGAAGTCAACAAAGAAGGAGGGGGAGTTCCAGCAAGATGGCGGACTAGGCAGAAGGATTGCACAGACCCTCTTCAACAAAGAAAAGGGAAACCAATTAA